CTTACCGTGCGATCAGGACAAAATTCTAATTAAAATTTGTTTTTTAAATAAGAATCTTTTATTAAGCATTAATTTCAAAGATTAAAATATTACAATTTTATGATCTTGGATGAATAAAATTTTATAAATTACATCAAGAATTTAACCTCTTCATTTAACAATGTTAAAAAATTAATTGCCAACAACAGGATTGTAATGATTGATGAATCAAAAACTAAGAAAATATTGTCTTGGACACCATGTTAGTTGTATTTGGTTTTGGCATGATAGAAAAAACAACTGAAGGAAAAACTAAATTAATATTTCTTGAAGATTGTAAGGAATGCTTTAATAGAAAAAAATATAAATACTGTTAAAAGAAATAGTATTATTTATTCTAATAAATAGAAAGGAAAACTGCTTTAAAAAGCTTTGTCAATGCTCATTTAAGCATTAATCAATTCTATGTTTTAAAGATATAATTATTTAAATGTATACTTATAATACAAATGAATGTTAAATATTCATATTCCTCTAAAAAGTTGTATAAAAGAAAAATAATTCATATTTGATAAGATTTATGCAAGAAAAAATAACAATATCCTTTAGAATGTTTAATTAAATATTTATCTTACTCTTTGCTTTTCTTTTATAAATTATTATGGGCTTTTCTATTATTAAAGTATTATGGATACTAGCGAACCAAAAGCCTTATATTTTATGTTTAAACTCCTTCGTTAAATTTTATTTCAAAAATTATTTTTAAAATAAACAAATATTATAAAATTTATAATAATTTACCATGGGAGCACATGATAAAACATTAAAATTGCATGAAATTGAAATTAGCATAGAGAAAAATGAAAACAGATTGGCAAATGAAATATTAACAAATTTAGATAACTTAATTCATCTTACAGAGTCGATTGATGAAAGTGTTGATGTATATAATAAAAAGCTTGAAGAAATGCTCAATGATTTATATTTGAAATAAAATTTGTACTTTTTTTTAATTTTTATCAATATTTTTGTTGATGTCTTTTAACAAGGTATACCAGAACAGGTTAACATAATTCTTTAAAAATGTTTCTTAATAAAAAAATATATTTTTTAAAACAATTATTTCTCTTATTTTATATAACTTTCTTCCTTTTATTATTTTTAAATAAAATAATTTAATTAAAT